GATCCTGAGTTTTCCTAGTGAACTGTCGTTTTATGGTCATTCCCAGTGAATGATAGGTCCTGAGCATTCCTATTGAATGGCAGATAGATCCAGAACATTTCTGGTGAATAGCAGTTCAATCCAGAGCATTGTTAGTGAATGGTAAGTAGATCCTAAGCATTCCCTTTGAATGGTAGTTAAATCTCAAGAATGAATCTCGACCATTCCTCAAAGTGGTAGAGATCTCGAGCATTCCTTTTGAATAGTTCTTAGATCTGTAATATTCCTAGTGAATAGTAGTTAACCCATTCGCGCTGGGCGTCACGTATACGTGACAGGCCCACTGTGAGTTTACTTGTTTTCAAACAGATGGCTACACTTGTACATGTACATGCCTGTCTCGCCTGTTTACCCTTTTCTTTAATTTACGAAATTATATTGCGTTATCTTATTTTGCTGTTACTAATGTTCATAATATTATAGTAATTATAATGTTTATTATAAAAATAACCATCGATATTCATAGCTTGAGTAAAAAATACATTTTCCCGCCAAATGAAATTAGGTAAGGGAGAGCCATCTAGTGTAGAGAAATTTCACAAAAAGTATATAAAATGAGCACAGCATTTTTCCCCTTTTTTTTCATTTTTACCCGGCGCGAATGGGTTAAATCCTTAGTATTTCTAGTGAATGGTAGCTAGATCCTGAACATTCGCAATGAATAGAACATTCCATTTGAATTGTAGTTTGGTCCCGAACATTCCTAGTGAAAAATCCCAAACATTCCTTTTGAATTGTAGTTTGGTCCCGAACATTCCTATTGAATGATAGTTCCATCTTGAGCATTCCCATGGAATTGTAATTATATCCCTAATAAATGATAGATCCTGAGCATTTCTTTTGGATGGTAGATCCTGAACTTCCCCTTAAATGGTAGAACTAGAACTAGGTAGCATTTCTATGGAATTGTAGATATTTCCTGATCATTTCTAGTGAATGACAGTTTATTCCATAGCATTGCTAGTGAGTGGTAGTGAGATCCCAAATATTCCCTTTGGATGGTAGTTAAATCCTGAGGGTTCCTTTTGAATGGCAGATCCTGAGCTTACCTTTTGAATGGTAATTAGTTCCCAAGCTTTCCAATTAAATGGTTGTTAGATCCCGAGCATTCCTAGTGAATGTCAGATCCTGAGAATTCTTGGTGAATGGTAAATAGATCCTAAGCATTCCTAGGGAATGATAATTAGATCCTGAGCATTTTTAGTGAAAGGTAGCAAGGTCTTGACCATTCTTATTGAATGGTAGTTAATTTCGAGCATATATAGGTAATGGTAGTTGGATCCCGAACATTCCTTTTGAATGGTAGCTAGATCCTGAGCAGTGCTAGTGAAAGTTAGTGAGGACACAAGCATTCCTATCGCACTGTATTTAGATCTAGAACATTCCTTTTGAATGGTAGTGCAAGCAAGCCTCTCCAAGGAATACTGGCCAAAAATACCATGTTTTTAACAATAAATGTTTTGTCTACTGTTTTACCCAGTTATCGTTGGTTTAGTGTTAATTTTTAATGTTTTTAATTGCTTTATTTTGTACGTTTGTCCGCATTTCTGTTTGTGTTTTGCTTCATGAGTTTAACCTTTCGTTTATAATATTTTAAAACTTTTATTTGTTCTTATATTTACATTGTACGTTTTTGTTGTTTTAACCAGTAAAATAAATCATACCAGAGTATTATAGCAACTTGAAACCTATTAAGTTAGAACCAGAAATTAAGCGTCTGCTATGTTTGTTTTTCGCCCTCTCTCGACTTTTGTCTAATGGGCAGATTCATCTGGGACTCTGGGATCGCCTTTTTTCGAGCTGCAAGACCCACCGAGCCAAAAAGTTCAGTAGAGTGAATGTTTATGGCCACAAAAACCAAAGGCAATGATATATGAAGAAGAAAATGCAATGTTTATATAAGCTTTTGAATCTATTTTGCTGGACCAAAATAGTTTTATTTTATTTTGTAGTCTTATTTGATGTTTCGTTTCCCTGCATCTTTTAATGTTGTGTCACAGTTTCTTTTTTTTATTATATTATTTTACGTTTCGGTTCTTAGCTTTCATTTTAGTTCTTTGTTTTATTGCCTAGTTTTTCATAGTTTTTGTATTGTTCGTTCTTAGCGGTTTTATTGTGTTTACTTTTTATGTTTCGATTTATTTGTTTTAAATACATGTAGACTTTTACCTTTTACGGCCAACCACAAACGTGCCGTTATTTTTTTTTTTTTTTAGTATGGATCAGACAATGAAATTTCCAAAATAACAACAACCCAAATAATGGTGGCAGCTGAGTGGATTGCATTATTTTTTTTGTACGTTTGTTTGACGGTTCCAGAGTCCATTTTCCTTGAGCTTTTTTTTTTTTTTCTTTTGCAATCGATTTTAGTTACTGAGTTACTTGGTCACGATTATTGGTTCAACTTTTGTTTATGTTCTGTAATTCATTTTGTTTTATTGTGTCTTACGTTTTATTGTTTTATGTTCTGTAATCCGTTCTACTTTAGTGTACTTCTTAAATTATGTTGGTTTTACTGTAGTTTCTTTTATTTTGGTATGAAAAGTACAGTAATTTTTTGTTTTACATCAATGCCTTTCATGTATTATAATAGTGCCTTGCATACCTTTAACAGTGCATATCATAGTTCAGAATGGTATGTATTGTATTATGTCTTGTACATTTTACTGTGCTCTATAATGAAGTTTTCTGATATATGAACTATATAATTTCAAAAATAAGCTTTACATATAACACAATTCTGTTATTTCTAACCGTGCTTTACTTTTTGTAATTCCTTATTGCAGCATTCCTTGCAGTATTGCATATGTTTCAGAGAAATGTTTAGTGGTCTGCGATGCTGGTGCACCATCAGTGATCTTGTATGTGCTTCGCGGTCGGCGAACATGGCTGACGACCTCAGTAAGAAAAGGGAGCTGTGGGTAGAGAAACCCGCAATTCTTCGAGAGTCGATTCTGAACCAGACGTTCAAGGTGCAGAAGCGCAAGAGGTGCCAGCTCAGCCTGAGAGATCAATGCATGAACTTTTAGAATAGCTAGTACAACAAATGGATGAATTGCGAGCCGAGGGCAAAGAGATTGGTGACACAAATAACCACCTGATGACTGAGTGCGCTAGCCTCCGAGATGTTGTGAACCATCATATTAGTTACGACCCTGTCCTAGGTATTACTGAAGCCATGCAGTCTGAAATGGATCGAGATACTGATGATGAGAGGGGCCAAGATCATGATAGGCTGGATCACAGTGTACGTACTCAACCTAACCTAGTCCGAGACGTAGTCCACATAGGTGATGCTGCAAGAATACACTGCCAAGGAGATGCAGAAAGGGTTATCAAGTCCCCCTTGTTCGATGATCTCCAAGATTGGACACTGCTCAACGTCTTAGAAGTTCTGCAGAACAACTTTCATCTCAGAATTCATACAACAGCTTTCCAACTCAGTGAATTCCAAAGTCCTCAGGATTTACTTCTTGAAATTGAAAGTGCCGTCCTCTCGAGTTGGAGGGATTGTCCTGTTGTCACAGATAGGCCACAAGAGCTGATTAAAAGAACCTTAGTCGAAGCCTTACCCTTCTGGTTACAGGAAAGTATTGCAGGGCAAGAGGAGAGAACACTTGATAATCTGGCGACTGTAGCAAGACATATATGGGGTATCCACCAGAGAGCCCGGACAGGTAGGTTTATAGCATCCAAGATTACAAGGCTCCAAAATACAATAGTGGAACAAGAAACTGCTGCAGTTGGTGAACAACCATACTGTTCTTTTCACCGTCAACGAGGACATTCCACCCGTGATTGCCGAGAGAAACCAAAAGGATATGTATGCAGGGATGTGGTTAATCTGGATATAATAGGAAAATCTGCCCCTTTCCAGATAGGCCAGACAGCGAGCCCGGACTGAACCTGACAGCAACTTCTCATCAGCTCCCAAAGAACTGCTCCTGAAATCTAGACAAGCTGGTAGACCCATGATTCAACTACATCTGAATGGTGTCAAGTTATGGTGCCTGATAGATACAGGAAGAGAAGCAACACTTCTGAAAGCATCCACATACAGTAAAATCTCAATTTACAATAAGGTTTAATAAAGTAGAACGCTCTTAGGAGTGTTTGGAACCAATTTGGATGTGCAGGGTGTGTGATGTTTGAATCCACCTATCTGAGGAAAAGTCATTCGCTTATCGGGTATGTGTTGTCCAAGGAATCAGTTTCCCAGGTGATTTGCTGATAGGTATTGAGGCGTTGTAGTTATGTGCTAATTCACAAGAAGTCCCCACCCCAGAACATTTTGCTTTTTGATAGAGTTAAATTACCAGTAACTATTACAGACTGGCCTAGTCTCAAAGTAACGGTTGTAAATGTGGCTGAGACTGAAGTGGGAAGAGTGATCAAAGAAAATGTACACCCCAAAGCTCAAGTTTGCTCATCAGTTACCCTTCAGCTAAAATCTGGCCGCTTCCACTTTGGCAAAAGTATCTTCTATACTTGGAAAAGCATCAGTAATTTTGGTTGAGCCCTCTAATGATGCTTTAGTTATGCCTAAAAGTGTGGTTACTCCAACTAATATAACAATACCTATCTGGATAGTTAATACCAGCAATAAGCCACTGAGGTTAAAGGGAGGAACTCTGCTTGCAGACTTGACCGACGTGCAACGTCCAACAATGCAGCCATGACTGATTTTAATGCAGTGAAGGAGGAACCCCAGGTGAGTACTTACAAATCTCTTAGTTCCTACTGAAGATAACCATAATGAATTGCCATGCTTAGATCATTTGGAGGATCCTGAAAAGACCTCTTGAGTAAGTTCTCTGGACTTTTCAATGCTGAAACTATGGACATAGGTACAATTCCACAGAATACAAACAGGTGACGTCTCACCAACTGTTACAAGGCAGTGGTTACCATAAACGGCCTGATTGACTCGTCTGATTGATTGACGTGAACAGTGCCATGCAATGACCAAGGCTGGTGTCATTGAACCCTCCACAAATCCTTGGCTTTCACCAGTGGTTCTCGTTCGTAAAAAGGATGGTACGGTAAGGTTTTGTGTTGATTTTCGTACTGTAAATGCAATAACATCTGACTTATCCCTTACCACAGATACAACAGGTTATTGATGACTTACACCAGAGCTGCATTTTCACCTCTTTGGATGCTGGTTCTGCCTATTGGGCTAGCCCTGTGCAACCTCAAGATCGACCTAAGACAGCATTTAGTGATAGGGCTCGTGTGTGGCAGTTCAGACGAATGCCATATGGTCTGAAGACAGCCCCACAGATCTTTCAGAGAACTGTTAATATAATGCTATACTCTGTCTTAGGTTACCACACAACCGCTTACTTGGATGATGTGGTTATTTTTAGTAGAAGTACAGAGGAGCACCTCGGAAATATAGAGACTCTTAAATTGTTACATAGAGCTGGTTTGCGTTTGAACCCAGGTAAATGTGAGATAGCTATAAGGAAATTAGAATTTCTTGGCTTTGAAGTATCAGTACTTAATCCCCAAAACCTAACTGCTATAGTGGAAATGAGCCGCCCGAAAGATGTACGAGGAGTGCGCCGATTCCTTGGTGCTACAGAATTCTTCCACCGTTATGTAGATTGGTTTACACTGTTGGCATTCCTCAGTACAAATAAGCTTGCTGTTCTTCCTTGCCAAAGTCAAAGGAGCTGCTAACCGTCTTTTGAGAGTCTGAAACTTGCCTTGGTGTTTGCCCCTACCCTGCAAATCTGTAATTATGATAAACCCTTTGAGGTCCATTGTGACGCCTCAAAGATAGCCATCGGGGCATGCTTGATGCAGCGTAACACAGAGGGCATACCTCACACTGTGGCATATTTCTCCAGAAAAAAGAGTGGACCAGAGACTTGCTACAGTACCACTGACAGTGAGGCACTCACTATTGTAGAGGCAGTAAGGGTCTTCAACCCATACGTTTATGGACAGAAATTCACTGTGTATACTGATCACCGCCCACTGGTTTATGTGTTCACCAGGGGGACCAAGGATGTCTCGATGGTGTATTGACCTAAAACATTATAACTGTGATATCTATAAGAAAGGACCTATACACCATGTTCCTGATATGATATCAAGAGCTGAAACAGCCGTGGTTGCTGCCACTGAGATATTGGTGACCCACTGGTTTTGCGTGCAGAACAGCTAAAGGACCCTACTTGGGCACAGATAGTCGAGTACCTAGAGGGTGGATTAGTTCCTTTTGCAAAGTTACCAGCATCCTTGGCTGACTTTGAAGTTGGGAATGGGGTCTTGTACCATTTGCAGGACTCAGGTGACCAGATTCTTTGCAGGATTGTTGAGAGAATCAGCATTGCGTCTGTTCCATGCTTCATCCCTATCAGCATATCCTGGTATATTCAGCACATTAATAAAGCCAAAACAATGTTCCTTTTCCCTTATATGCTCTCTTTTCCTATATAGTTTGTTAAGGCATGACCGGATTGCCAGATTAAGAAAGTTGCTTGTCCTCTTGAGAGGGTTTCAGCAGACTTGATTCAGTTACCACTAACAGAAAGAGGAAATATTTATACCTTAGTGATAGTTGACCACCTATCCCGTTACGTGGAGTTAGTACCTCTGCCTGATAAACTAGCTGAAACTATTGCCACTTCATTCATTGACAGTTCTGTTACAGTGTATGAGCCACCACTGGAGTTGCAGACAGATGGGGGAGCAGAGTTTAATAACAACCTCATGGCTTCTGTTTGCCGTGAACTCCAGACAAAATTTAAGCTGACACTACCATACAATCTTCAAGCAAACGGTATGGTAGAGAGGACCAAGTAAGTGGGAAAAGAAGGTCTGACTGCTCTTTGTGACCAGGCATATTACTGAAATGTTCTTCCTCAGGTGAGGTTTGCTCTAAATACCTCTATTTTTCCAGGGTCACCCAATTGATATATCCATAGGACTGACTATGAAACCGGTCTACGATGATGCCGCACCACATATCTTGCGGCACAGACTGCAGTTAGCCTGGACAGCTGCTCAGGAAGCATGCAGTAAAGCTCGAGTGGGTTGGACCAGGGATTACGATTGGAAGATCAGGAAGCATCTGTCTTTGAAGGATCATTGGTTCTCACAAAGGTATACTGGTCAAATATGTTGTCGCCCCGCTGGGAAGGCCTAGCTCGTGTTGTCAATAAAGTAGGGCCTGTTGTATTCCTGGTAAGGAATCTGTATGGAGAAGCTCGTGAGCGTAGAGTTCATGCTAATTACTTGAAGCCCTTTTATCCACCCCAGAAATTGCAGTATCCTCCACTTCTAGATGATCAGTTTCATCATCTACCGCCTCGTGTGGCAGATGCAACCCATGCTCAGCTGAACAGGCAGTAAGCAATACATCGCAAAAGGAAGGATGCAAGATATCGGATCCAGTGTTGCGAAACGGTGCAGTGGTCACGTTGCATAGATCAAACTGTAGTGCTCAGTGAGAGTGTGACTTTGTACTTTATTGAAATATTTTGTCTTCATATAATGTATGTTCCGCTAATGCACGACAGTGGCTGATGTTCTATGCTGATGCCAGTATTGAAGTTGAGCCGATCATATGACTTTTTTTTCTTGTCAATCACTTCTCTTGTGGGTGACATGGTGAATGACTTTGACACAACACCCGTGGTGGACGAGTGCGTGTACCCTTCGCCAGGACAGAGTTCCGCCTGCGCTCATTTCTGTTAAGATATGTTCGCCTTTGGAACCACATGGTCATGGTCATTAATTTTACTATTGTTAATATTATCATTATGTTTATTGATATTGTAGCTGGTGTTATCATTATCATTATAAATATTGGTAATGATACAATTATCACCATAATAAAGATTATCACCTCTGTTTTATGACTACCCTTGGAAGAAAGTTTTCTCTCTCTCTCTCTCTCTCTCTCTCTCTCTCTCTCTCTCTCTCCCTCTCTCCCTCCCTCCCTCCCTCTCTCTCTCCCTCTCCCTCTCCCTCTCCCTCTCTCTCCCTCTCCGCCTCTCCCCCTCTCTCCCTCTCTCCCTCTCCCCCTCTCTCCCTCTCCCCCTCTCTCCTTCTCTCCCTCTCCCCCTCTCTCCCTCTCCCCCTCTCTCCTTCTCTCCCTCTCCCCCTCTCTCCCTCTCTCACTCTCACTCTCACTCTCCTTCAAACACTTAGGCACACATGTAAGCACAAACACACACACACAGATCTTAAATTCAAGCAAAGCGAAATGCAGCTCTACTATTTTTCTTGTTCAATCACCTTCACTGGAGACATGAGGGCGGCACACACGCAGTGCATACATGTTATTCCCCGTTATGTTATTCGCATAAGAAAAAAAATAGTTAACCTCCGACTCTTTGATGATAAAAAATAATTTCATTGTGTTACTGCTTTTAAAAAAAAAGCACACAATAAATAAAGCATCGGATAGAGAAATGTGTAAGTGGGTGTTGGGAAAAAATAAAACCTCGGAAGCAACAAAGAACTAATCTGATGTAAACGGAAATGCAGAAGGAAGACTGATGTAGGGAGATGAAGAAATCGCTGAGGCATACTCTGCTTATATATACACATGCTATATGTATTAATTATGTATATTATGTATATACGCAGACGAGAGAGTGATTAGGAAGTGAGCACCAAAGAGAAAGCAGGAAAATAAGTTTCCCTCGATTTTTTGTCTCGTTCTCTCCCTCCCTCCCAGTCTCTTTCACGAGGGCTGAAGACAAAAAGGGTAGCCTTTTTCTCATCTCATCCCCCCCCCCAATCCCTTGCCCGTTGTTGTCGTGGGGGGGCTTAGGAGGCGGAGACTGGGTCCCAATGATAGGGAACTCCCCAACCTTGGGACTCAGCCCTCGACTCGACTAATTATGCATGGTCTTTTTTTCCCTTCCCACTTTTGTTTCTGTCCCTTCACCAAACTCTTCTGCTATCCACTTCCTAAGGTGTGAGAGCCGTGCTGAAAGGATGAAAGGCTGACTTTGTGCCAGTCCTGAACGGCCT